TTTTTCCAATTGAATTACACAGGTGATGATGACCAGACTTTTCAAGCTGACACGCTTCTCACACCTCAACCTCAATTTGTATATGCTCGGAGGGGGTCCAGACAGCGCAGACCTCCGGATACATACACCCCTAATTAGTTAGTTGTGATGAATTCGTGGATTTTGTGTTTCATTTTCAAATGTTGGATTGTTTGTACAAACTGAATTAAATCGTTTGGTATATATTGTTTGTTTAACAAATTATTGTGTTTTTTCATTTGCTTCGTTATAGTGTATGTTGCATTATTATTGAGCATATATTGATATTAGTTGCTCGAACAGGTATATTTGATTTTTGGGTAAAAATTTGATTTTAACAAGTTTTTTCAAATTTTCTCTTCTAAGAACGTATTTAACAAATACGTTTTACTTTTTAATTAAATTTAAAATATGAAAAAAAAATTAAAACGTATTTCATAAATACGTTTTAATGATTTAATTTTTTTTTAAAATTAACGAAATCGTAAACGTATTTATGAAATACGTTCTTATGTTTTAAAAAATTCAGAAAAAAAAGTAAAACGTATTTGGTAAATACGTTTTGGTAATTAAAAACAATTAAAAAAAATAATTTAAAAACGTATTTAGGAAATACGTTTTGATGTTGATTAATTTACTTAATTAGGATAATTACCGTAAACATATTCAAGGAATACGTTTTCGTTTCAAAATTTATTTAAGCCATATTCAAAGAATACGTTTTCTAAATAATATATCTAGAAAACGTATTCCTCGAATATGTGCTTTTTATTTTCTTCCACACCTTTTTTTTTTTGTCCACTTATTTATTGATTTTTTTTTTTTAGTAAAAAATTCGAGATGGGGCAGCCAAAATATTTTCAAAAGAATTGAACACATAGAAGAAAGAAATCAAGCAACAAATTTTCCCATTTCCATGATTAAAATTACATCACTCTTCACGCCTCAACTTCTCATTCCCACCTTGGTGATTTGATCTCTTCACTGTTCAACCGTCATCGAGGAATCCTGGTTTAGCTTCTATTCTCAAATCCGACATTGCTGATTCCGAACGATTCTCCTTTACAGGGATCAAACGACACCCGATCTTCATTCGCCGATTGTGGGTTTGAAAATTTCCAGCTCAATTTAACGAAATTTTATGTTGTAATCTGTTTGTGTTGGTTAGATTTGGTTGATTTCTGTAGGTTAGATGACGTGAATTCAATATTCCGAGGCGTGGATCAAGCGGCTTGATCGAGGATATGGCGTGGTTTAGTGGGAAAGTGTCGCTCGGCAACTTTCCGGATTTCTCAGATGCCGTAAATAAGCTGAGTGAAAGTGTGAAGAACATCGAAAAGAACTTCGACAACGCGCTTGGGCTCGAGGAAAAATCCGATGCTAGTGGCAGCGGCAGTGAAAGTACGAATTTGCTGTCATCTTGAAGGATTTTTTTCCCCCTTTTTGTTGTTGATTGCTGGTTCATTTACTTGAATTGCATTTTGATTAAACCTATTTATTATTACTTTTAAGCTTATGTGGATCTGCTCGAAGAATTTGTGCGGTCCTGAAGTTTGGTGCTTTTAGGGCTTGGAATTTTGTAGGTTGCCATGTGCAACTAGCTATGAAAACATAAATCTTAAAAGTCACTTAGTACACTTTCTAGCAGCTAAAGATTTTTCAAATAATATGTTCAGAAGTCCATATTTTAGCTGCAGTCCTTTCAATTATCATGAGAAATATTGCCTCGACCAAGAATCGGGCCTAGGCAGCCAAAATCCTGCCAACTTGATTAAAAAAGATAGTGAGGAAAGTGTTCCAGGTGGCTGCTTAAACACCCTACAGGCTAGACACTCCACTACCACCTGACTAGCACAGATCGATCTCTACAACCTTAAATAATTGTGGGCACTGAGTTCATATTAGCTATATTTGATCATTAATGTTTAGTTTTTACATTATAGCATCAGGAGGATTATGGCCATCTACAGACAGGAAGGCATTGTTTGATCCCATCATTGGGTTTATGGGCCAGAAAGGTGGGGAGGGTGCTGTTGAATCATTGGAAAAGTCTACACCCTCAAAGCAAGAGTCTCCTGTCAAGGAAAAACAAGCTGAGAATGACAACTTAGCTAGTCAAGAAAGTGAGCAGGTTCTTCATGTGGAACAAGTAAAGGAAGATTCGAAAAATGCCGAAGTAGAGCCAGAGTCTGAAGAAGAAACAAAATCCACAGTTGGGGAGTCCAAAGAAAATGCTGGTGTAGAAAATGTTGAAACTGAGGTTGATTTGCCTTCGGGTCCCATTGAATCACCTGAACATAAAAATGTAGAGATGGAGCAAACAGAATCTATAAAAACAGTTGTAGAGAACGAGAAGTCAGAGGAAATATATCCTACAGCTTCGGACTCGATACAACCAGAATCTGCCCACAATTTTCAAGAGGAGAGATCAGATGAAGTTCCTCCTACACATTTTAAGCCACTTCAACCAGAGTCAACAAGTCCTGTTGGTCAAAATGAAGTTATTCCTTCTGTGCCTTCAAAGGATGCTGAAACTAGTTTGCCGGATAACTTAGATACTACTGAAAAAGAAGGCAGTAAAGATGTTGTTCCAGCTCAAGCTCTGGATGCGTCGCATGCCGTCCTGGGTGAAAGCAAAGAATTATCTGAATCAGAAAGTCTTGAAAAGACCAGAGAAGCTGAAGATAGTTCTACTAACAATTTGCCTGTTTTACTATATAATGATGCGGAAGCATCAAAAGAAGCTTTGGATATGGTTACACCTTTAAATGATGCCGTGTCTAAAACAATTGAGCTCACACGGCACCCAGACAAAGATCCTAGTGCAAAAGAACGCAGTCTAGGTACCGGAAGCAACGTGCCTGATAGTGCAGATACAATGGCAGAACTTCAGAAATTGAAAAAGGAAATGAAAATGATGGAAACTGCGTTGCAAGGAGCTGCTAGACAAGCTCAGGTATTTATATTAATTCATCTCTAGTAATGGTATGAAGCATGTCCTTTTTACGTCACTACAGGATTTCCATCCTGATATAACGATCGTATGGCCTACAAAACAAAGCCAGTGGAAATTGTATGAATAAGGAATATAATTTTACTTACCAGATGGTAAACCATTATGGTAATCGTTCTCACTCCCTAGTTAGACACACTAGTTGCAATTTATTGGACTGGGAAGTTACTGGTTAACAGGCACATCAAATTAACAGCTTTCCTAAAACTTGCTCTTGGTGAATGGACGATAGTGCTATAATAGTGGGAAGCTGGAGCATTTACTTTGTTTCTTCAATGTACTTTTTGTAGAGGATCTATGTATTTTGTACTTCATTCTCTTTTGTAAATTTTATAAAAATGAGAGCCTTCTCTTATTTTTCATTGAAGATAGGAAGTGGGACCTGATTGTTTTTAATTATTCCCTTCCAGGCCAAGGCCGATGAAATCGCCAAGTTGATGAGTGAGAACGAGCAACTAAAATCTGTTATTGATGATCTGAAAGTAAGTGAAAACTGTATCACTTCTTTCTTAACTTTATATATATATATATATGTGTATCATGTTTACATATTACTGTTTGGATTTAGCACAATACTCATTTGACTATGCATTGTTTTGATGCATAAGATGCTATGATTATCCATGCTTGAGTAAGTTGGCGATTATATTCCTTATCGTCAAGAATATAATGCTAGGGACATTCTTTGTCATATTAAATTTTGATGGCGCATCTCTATGTTGATGATGTTTTAAGTTTAAGGAGGGTAAGCTGTTTTTTGTTATTGTCATATCCTGATCATTTGATAATTTCTCCATTCATAGGCAGATAAAAGTACTTAATCATAACATGGATTTTCAGTTTTCATAGCCCAGAAGTTTCTATAGTAGGAGGGACGGGTATTCATCACATTACTTCTTTTAGAAGAGTAATGTAAGGCCTCTGAATTTGACCCAGATTTCCTGTTGAAACTATTAGCTTGGGAACTGATATGTATAGGATTGTATGACAACAAGTTTCGTGTCATACTGAATTCCTGTTTATGTATCAGGATGACGTCTAAAGAGAAAAATTGTATAACATAACAGAAGGAAGAGTTGTTACTATCAGAAGTGCATTCATTTCCAAGCCATATTGGTGGATAAGAAGCATTGTGGAACAGAAAGTACTGAGAGGAGGGGAAGTTTAGAATAATCAAAACTTTAGTGCCTGCCTGTAATTTTAAATGTGCTAGCATAATTGTTCAATAATGTCATAATTCTTTTATTGAAGTTTATTCGAACATATTTGTCATCATTTATTGTATTACATGATCGTTTCAGTCTTCCTAACATTTCTTCACATGCCTTGTGGATTTTTCATAGTTTCTCACCCTTCCTGGAGCCGTACTATGCCATCTATATACATCGGGCCAAATACGTATCTTGGCATTTGTCCACGCATCATGATGTTATTATAAATGTTGATTACCAAATGCCTTGACACATTTCTGCAACAACATACGTTCAGTTCTAGTCATTTCTGACTCATAAAAGTAATTTTCAGAGTAAAACAAATGAAGCTGAAATTGAATCTCTACGGGAGGAGTATCATCAGAGAGTAGCTGCACTTGAGAGAAAGGTACAGTTTTTCAGGTAGTTGCTCATATTTGATTCTAGTTTATTAGACAGATTTTTGTTACCAAATCATGTGCAAACTGGTGTGGCCTTGAAAATTCATCCTTTAGATGCTATTTTGATGAATATGAAATTTGTAAAGGTTTTGAAGTTCGTTTACTTGAGTAGTTATAAACTTCTCTTTTTTTTTTTCAACCTGACTATTTTTAAGCTCCCATTCTTTCTTGAAGAAATGTTGATTTTTTCATAGGGACGAAGGCTTTCTGAATTGCAATACTATGTTTATTTCTCAAATTTCAAGTCTGCTAACGCATCAGTGATATCTTATCTGTTCTAAATTGTAATTGAGCGATGAAACGATTTAATATAATACTTTAAGGAGGATGGACTACAATATTATGTACTTACTACTTACTGATTCCTTAAGGAGTTGAAAAGGTTATCTGACTGCTAAATGTTTATCTTTGCTTCAATTTTTCTCTTGATATTGACATCACATCCTGTATTATAACTTATCGTTTGTCTCAAGGTTTTTCAATCTCAATTTGAAGTGTAGCCACCGGAATAATTTTGTATGATGTGATAACTTACACATAAGTAGACTTTAATTAGAATGCTATTTCTCTATTTTCATGTTAATAACATTGGATTCCAAACATTTTCATCTTCTATCATTTAGTTTGAGACAAATTTCTGACAGATGATAAGCTGGGCTGCCTTGAGCATCTCTTACTATATTGATCCATGCATATACTTTTTTTTTCATTAGGTTTCATCCTTTCTTGGATGGTGCATTTATTATCTCTGTATATACTGATTTTATTGCATTAAAACTGATTTTGTATATACTTTATTTTTGTTGGTATGAGATTATGAATTGTGTTTGAGTTAAAATTTTGATTTCCATTTCTTTAGGTTTATGCTCTTACTAGAGAAAGAGATACATTGCGCAGAGAACAAAGTAAAAAAAGTGATGCTGCAGCTCTCTTGAAGGAAAAAGATGAAATAATCACCCAAGTGATGGCTGAAGGTATGCACAAGTTGTATGCAGAGACACCATATCTGATGCTTTTAACTGCCTAAAAGTTTTCTCTCGTAAGTGTAGCAAGTTGCTTTCACAATGTGAATGTAAAAAATGTAGGCTGGCTAGCAGAAATAGAACATAGATTGGATGACTTGCTATTTGGAGGTTAAGGCGTTTGTGGCAACTGGTGGAATAGATAGATTTTGTTTATTAGAGATGACTACCTCTCTGGTAGCAATGTTTCTTTATGGGTAGAATATATCAAGACAACATTTAATTTGATCTTGAAGACCCAAATTACATGCATAATCAAGCTTTCTCACTATTGATATGGGAAAGAGAGACCATGAGATTTGCCTCATTGAACATATTAGCTGAGTTCTCTGCTGGACCCTGATTTTAGGTCGTCCGATTAATTGCGATTAATCGCGATTAATTGTCCTGGTCGCTCCCAAGTGCTCGATTAGGAGGTCCGACCCGACCAGCTCGACCAGAAACCTGGTCGTCCGATTAATCGTCGATTAATCGCGATTAATCGTCCGACCAGGGCATATGGACGACCAGGACATATATTTGTCTTTTTGGGCTGGTATGTGGGCTGCTGGGCTTGGCCTGTTTGGCCTGTTAGGGTTAGGATATATATAGGAAGGAGGCAGCCCGATTAATCTAGCTGGTCGACGATTAATCACGAGTAATCGTCTGGTCGGTCCGTGGTCGACCAGGTTCGACCAGCCGACCTGAAAACATTGCTGCTGGACGAAATGGCTCTCATCCGTTAGTATTATAGTTGGGTTCTCCTGCCATTTCATGATTTTTCTGTGAAATATTTTTGAAATACGAGTTCCAATCTAAGAGGAATTTTTTTTTTCATTCCATGATGTGATATTGTGATCTCATTGATCTACACGTTCCAATAATTAATAATTTTAGATGACGACTGGTGTTTAAGTCATCTTGCTTATTATAATCACCAGGTGAAGAGCTGTCAAAAAAGCAAGCTGCTCAGGAATCTCAACTTCGAAAGTTGAGGGCACAGGTATTTTCTTATATTTGAGAATCACATTCTTCTTATAAATTTAAACTCTGTTTAGCTATATAATGTATTTGATCTTTACTTGAAAGCTAGATCAGGGAGCTTGAGGAGGAGAAGAAAGGATTGCTGACAAAGCTACAGGTTAGTTTCTTCATCATTTCGGTTATTCGCACAAAGTGTGTTAACTTGATTATAGTACATAATTTTCTCGTGTTAACACGATAATCGTGTATGCTCTTTCTAATTATGTGATTATGTGTTTCACTATTTTTTTTCTTCATTTTTTTTTCTTATTATTGTTTCATTATTTAAGGTATGAATCAATTGGTTGACATGTGCTCTCCCTGTTTCTTGTCGTATTAAAACCGTCTTGCGCATTGTGTTTTTATTCAACTGTTTCTTGTAGTTGGTGTGCGTTGCTCATATACCTACCTTTTGAAATTAAAGGGGGTTTCAATGTTCAATACCAGGTTGAAGAGAATAAAGTAGAAAGCATAAAAAGAGATAAGGTAGAAACTGAAAAATTGCTTCAAGAAACTGTTGAAAAACATCAAGCTGAACTTGCCACACAAAAAGAATACTACACGAATGCTTTGAATGCGGCAAAAGAGGCTGAAGCATTAGCTGAGGCACGCGCAAACACTGAAGCAAGAACTCAACTTGAAAGTCGATTAAGAGAAGCCGAGGACAGGGAAAGTATGCTAGTTCAAACACTTGATGAATTGAGACAAACTCTGAGCAGAAAGGAGCAGCAGGTTGATTCCAGAAAAGATTGAGTCTACAAATTTATCCATAAAAGTTATACTGATAATTGTCCTCCGGTGCAGGTAGTTTTTAGAGAAGATATGCTTCGCAAGGACGTTGAGGATCTTCAAAGGCGATATCAAGTTCGTTTTTCCTTTCTAATGTATTGTCTTTATTTTATTTATTCTGAAAATATGCTTAAAACGTAGTGATCTGATATTCACCTACTTGTCCCTAGGCAAGTGAACGTAGGTGTGAGGAGTTAATCACACAAGTTCCTGACTCTACCAGACCTCTTTTAAGGCAGATTGAAGCAATGCAGGTTTTACCATGTGATCAGTAAATCTTTGTGATAATGAGTTGGCAGCCTTGCGGTAACCTTTCTTTCCTTTATCTATCGATGTCAGGAAACAGCCGCCAGAAAGGCTGAAGCTTGGGCTGCTGTTGAAAGATCTCTAAGCTCCCGGCTTCAGGTTTCTAGACGTGCATAACTTCTCTTTGTCAACTTAATTTAGAGGTATTTGAATGCAATTAATTTAACATGCAGGAAGCAGAGGCCAAATTTGCAGCGTCCGAGGAAAAGGAGCGTTCGATTAATGAGCGTTTAACTCAAACTCTGTCTCGAATAAATGTTCTTGAAGCCCAGGTTTTCCTTCATTACATGGTTTTAAATGAGCTGAAGTTACTTTTGTCAATAGCTTAAAATGCGGCGGACATATTTGCAGATATCATGTCTTAGAGCTGAACAGACACAGTTAACGAAGTCTCTTGAAAAGGAGAGACAGAGGGCAGCAGAACACAGGCAGGAATATCTTGCTTTGAAGGAAGAAGCTGACACTTATGAAGGTCGTGTGAGTCAGCTTGAAGAAGAAATTCGGGAACTGAGGAGAAAGCACAAGGATGAGTTGCACGAAGCAATGATGCATCAGACACTTCTTCAGCAGGTAACCTACATAGTTCTATGTGGTTTTGGTTTTGTGTCAAAAGTCCTTGCTTAATTTTATCTACGCCGCGAATTTGTCTGGTTGAGATGGTTAAGATGTGTTATCAGTTAAAGTGTAGCGAGTCCTTTAGGTGCACTTGGTGTAGAGTATTTCTTTTTTTTACTTTATTTTAGTCATTTTTGGTTAAGCATGCATATGGTGTCCTGGATCTTTTGATGTACTGAGATTTTATCCAGTGAAATTCTGCTACAAATGATGCTTGCCTGGCAAATATTAATTCCACATGCACACATTGCAACTATTAACACTATGCCATCATCTTTTTTATTTTTGTTATTCTTTTTCTTATTTTTTTGTTCCCTTTCCATGCAAGTACATAACTGATGAATGTTTTAGGAACTAAATATTTCAACATGCTGTTACCTGCCACTGATACTCTGAAAATACACCCACGCGCTA